TACATCTGCTGCGCATCGAGGTGCTTCAATAAATCCGGTGAAGGATATGCATTAGTGCGATTCCCTAAAGAAGACCAATATCAAAAAGCATGGTCAGATGCTGTTTGGGGCGAGAATGCGTCAAAACGTTCCCTGGAAAATCTTAGATTGTGTGAAGTGAGTGTACATCATAAGAATGTTATGCAAAATCAAATAAAAATAGTTTTAAAAGTGTTTCTCCATTTTCAGGTACACTTTGAGCCATCCGATTTTTTGATAGTGGGTCGCCGGAAAGAAATAAAAAAACATATATTTCAAAAATATTATTTACAAAATAATATAATTTCAATAAAATTTAAACTTATTCTGCAAAATTAGTTCCATAACATTTTTAACATTCTTCAATAATTCGTTTTCCTTTTTAAGTTTTCACACAGTTCTTTTAATAGAATTAACATCTAAAGACAAATAAATGTTTTCAGAATTTGAAATAATGTAATTTTTCTCTATGGAACATCTTTTTTTGATTTCATTAACTGATAACGGAAGTGTAGTAAATGGACAATTAGATTGATGATTTACGACACGCACTTGTTTCTTGGATAACTTTGCAGCATTTTCTATTGTATGATTGATTATTGGACAAGTTAAGTTCTTTACAGAGATACAAGAATGCTCACATATATCAACTGCTTGACAAATATGACTATTAAGTTTTGCTTTAACATTGCGCACATAAGTTTCCTCTTTCTTCTGTTTTCTAGATTGCGATTTGCTATAAGAATGCTCTAAAATCTTTGGCGTAAATATTATTAAGGAAGACGATTTTCTGAAAGCCTCTTGCTATAAGAATGCTCTATTGAATATTGATGATTTGAATTCTGTGAAGTATCCAGTTTTGCTTTAATATTTCGCACATAAGTTTCCTTTTTCTTTCGCTTCCTTGCTTGCGATTTGTTGTAAGAATTGTCAGAGGGACAACGACAGAAGCGTGATGGTATTGCATCTTTTTTTATTTCTTTCCGGCGACCCACTACCAAAAAATCGGATGGCTCAAAGTGTACCTGAAAATGCAGAAACACTTTTAAAACTATTTTTATTTGATTTTGCATAACATTCTTATGATGTACACTCACTTCACACAATCTAAGATTTTCCAGGGAACGTTTTGACGCATTCTCGCCCCAAACAGCATCTGACCATGCTTTTTGATATTGGTCTTCTTTAGGGAATCGCACTAATGCATATCCTTCACCGGATTTATTGAAGCACCTCGATGCGCAGCAGATGTATGGCATTGCAAAATATAAGATCCAAATCTATGATAAGAATTATATTATTAATGAAATAGATCTCTAACTTTCATACTACTTATTTACTATAAAGCGTCTAAATTTATCAATTGAAAGCTTTTTTATAACAATATATATTGCTCTTTCTCATAATTTTACTTAGATAAGATAATTAACTTGCCAACAATAGATGTTTAAAAATATATATCCGTATATAATCATCACTAATCATTACGTACGTAACCACATCACACTTCATCAAAATAGGTTATAGTGTAGTTCAGTGTAGCTTTATGGTGCACACGGGGCACAAATGTGCGATCCATACACCAGCCAATCAGAGTCCACTAACAGTCACGTGACGAGTTGGCGAGTCTCTTTTTTTAGGGTCTCTAGTTCTCGCTTGTGTAGTGCCCGCATGGTGGGGGCTGTTCCCCTCATGTTGCTCTGTTGCAGGATGCTCGATCTTGCAGTACTGTGCTCTAGTAACAACCGCAGCGTCCGCTTGTGCCGACGCTTCCGCGTCACCGTACGTCAACCGTTTCACGCCGCCTTACACCGCCGTAACTAATACACATTTATATCGAGCATTCAGACAACGCATTGATACACAGTTATGCTAAACGTTCAAACCACTCATTATACACACGTATCCACACGGTACGTCTATCCACACTGTACATATCCGACATCAATTACTCAATAAATTAATAAAGCTGTATTAATTTGTAATAAAAATGAATTTTTGAGCAACTCGACCCAGCTCTTGCTCTATTTGCTTTATATTAACACGATTTTTAATTTAATTAAGGAAGAGCAATAACCTAATATTATTTGTAATTTCAATAAATTAAGTTATTTTTTGTTACACTCAAACAGCGAGTTTTCTTGATGTGCCCCCAACCGATCAAACTTTTGATCCCGGCGAATTATTCCGCGCAAATAATCGAACCGTCTCACTATTAATGATTAATAAATATAATTATTTTACGTAATATTACGATGTTTTGAATATTGCTATTGTAAAAGTAAAGATCTAATTATACCTGTATGTAATAGCTATTGTACATGTCTCCGCTGATTTTATAGAATTACCACTGGGATATTTTATTTCACAGCTAGCATCACTTAAATTTGCGCGAATATATTAATCTCTTAACCATATGATTTTTGATAAAGAAAATATAGACAAATTTAAAAAAAAACTGAAAAAACCCGAATTTCGTTGACAAAAAAATATTAAAAAACACTGTGCCGCTATTACGTGCAATTGCATAAGCTAAAGTGGGTATTTTATTTGTACTCTTGTCTCTGAAAAAAAATTTCGATATTATAAATCATATGATAAATCAAAGATTTCAATATTACAAATCATAATAATACCAATAAAAATTATTAAGTAGAAATATCACACACAGTACACATACATACACACACGCACAGTTAATATCAATTTATCGCGCGCACACGCTATCTTTAAACTTACTCGTGATCCAAATTGCCGATATCCCATATTTGTATGATATTTGGAATATTTTTTTCCAATGATACATTTGCTCTCCATAGTAGGATGCGTGCTGATTGCAATATATTGCGTTGAATTTTTAGTGTACACCGACGATGGAATAGATAACCACGCTAAAGCCCATACTGGATCGGCAACGAAAAATGTTGGCACACCTAAAGCAAAATCGTATTTTGAAACTAGTAGAGACCTTAAATATTTTAATAAGACATAATCTATATGACAGTCTCATAACATATCATCATAAATATTGCTTTCAAATCTATCGATGTGCTTCCATTTGTCAGATTTTTTTGCCTTTTTCGATGAATTGGTATTTGCGTGTTTAAAAGGCATTGACGTTACTAATTCTGGAAGATGTTTTGTAGCATTGTCACTTTTCAATAATGCAAAATTAAGAATCGTTTCTCATCGATTTAAGAATGTATTCCTTATGTAGCACTGAATATTACGATGCTTTAAATCAATGTAAATGTTTAAGTAAATATGCTAGGTAAATGAATATTGCTATTGTAAAAGTAAAGATTTAATTATACCTGTATGTAACAGCTATTGTACTTGTCTCCGCTGATTTTGGTGGCCAGAATTATCACTGGAATATTTTATTACACAGAGCTAATACTACGTGAACATATCAATCTCTCGACCATATAGTTTTTGGTGACAGAAAATATAGACGAATATAGATTGAATAAAACTAGAAAAAAACCGAATCTCGGTGTCAAAAAATGTGAAAAAAATGATGCAATTGTTCAAAAAAGAACAAGCACTGAACAATTTCTAAGCTCGATCAACAAACGGCATAGCTGCCCGCTCTCAAGATTCAAGACAAAGATGCATAAAGGCCTATCCAGATAAACTTGCTATAATTGCATAAATGTATGATAACATTTGGTCCATAAGCAGATGCATAAGGAAATGGACCAATCAATTTCCTTATGCATATCTTTATGCGACTATGCAAGTTTGTCTGGATAAGCCCTAACCAATGATTTTGTAAATGAGTGCAATGATAACATAAGAAACAATAAGTAAAACTTAATTAGTAAACAAATTAATCAATTACAGTGTAGTATTCTCAAAAGCGTAAGATTGATTAGCCAATTTGTTTACCGCTTAAATTTTACTGCTAACGTTTCTTTAAGCGCCATGGCCCTGAGCATTTACATGAAATATTTCAGTGATTTCTTTTATTTCAGCTGTTGATTATCATATTTCAGTCTTGATGTTGGTGGAATTGACACTAATGTAAACGCATTTTGAAGATTTATCCGTCATTTTTTAGCAAAAAGTAACTAAAACGCATGCTCACCCGTTCCGTGCTCCGTACCCGCCATATTCAAATAAAAATTATTTATTTTGTGTTTTAAACAAAAACAAAATGTTGGAATTGAAACCGTGTGAGCTTCGGCGGACGTGGAGTAGCTCGCCGGAATCCGGGTTCGGTCGGTTGGGGGTATGTCAGTGAAATAAATAAATGCTCGTTTGTGTTAAAGTAATGAAACAATGTTTATTAAGAAAGATGTTGATATGATTTGTTTCGAATGATCTGCTTTAATGCTCGTGTGTACATGCGAAGCGTGTGCGAAATGAATTCGAAAGAGAATACAAAATAGCAAAATATCGGTGCGATCGGTATTAAGAGGATGCTGAAGTGACGGGCGAACTCCGACGCG